AGGTCGCACATATACACACAACATTATCAACACCAATTGTTTGGGCTCCCTGCAAAGTAAAAGAATCCTCTTGGAAGTTCTGCCTGTCTGTGTTTGCATTCTGTGCATGTGTCTGCACATTGAGCAGAAGTTCCCATTAAGTAAAGCCAAAATCCAGTTACTGTGCCCTGTTCTCTGTGCTCAGCCTAAGGAAATAATAGTGAATTATGTTCCCCAGTGCATTTTTTTTTCTCTTGGTCAAAACATAACCTTGTATAAACTGAGCGCGCTCTTGTAAGTAGCCCAGACTAGAGGGACTGGGATTACCTTTTCGCCACATATTGCTTGGCTGTACAATATCATGAGACAAGAAACATCTTATGTTTGAAGGCCATGCATGGTGCTTTCAGTATGAGTCAGTCTGGCCCTGTTCATCCAGAAAGCCAGGAGTCTTGTCCAGCAAACACCCCAGAGAGAGAGAATGCAGCTTCTGTTCCCTGGATTGGCTCAAGGTGCTTTCTGCCCTCAAGCCTTTCTGCTGAATCACTGCTTGTTTACAGATCAGACTGAGAAGAGAAATGTAAAGTCTAGCAGAGAGAGAGAGAGAGAGAAACAAGTCCTAGTAAGGAAGGGGTTTGTTTGTTTGTTTTATGTCCAATCTCATTTTGCTTTGCTCTGCCTTTTGGTGTATAAACTAGAAGAGTGCAAGATTAAATTGATCTTGGGTTTGTTTTCTTGGTCAAGACAACTTAAAGGAACTTTCCCATGAATCTGGAAATTGTCACATTGCAATTTGTAATCACCTACAGAATCTCAGGAGCCATTGTCCATGCTGTTTGGAGGATCCTGGGAGTTCTGGTCCAAACAGCAGTGTTTCTAAACACTAATTCCCAACATATAATGAAATCTGTCCACCTTAGAAAGGTGTGGGTTTGGGTAAAATTGCAGGGCACTCCAGTGGATATTGTAAAGGGTCCCTTTTGCTCCCCCCTCCCCCAGTATTCTGGTCTGCCTTGGTCCTGCTCCACCTCATGGTAACCCCAGTGACAGGGTACCCTGAGGGCACAGTGAGAGGAAAGCAATTGGGGCCAAAGCGCTACACCTGTGGGTTCTGGCAGAGGCGAGGCCAAGTTGGTGGGACCTGGGCTCAAAGGAGGAGAAGAAGGGAGAGGAAGGGGTCTCGTTTCCTTTGATTGGCATAAAGGAGGAGGACTGGACATAGTCCTTGGAGGAGCCCTCTCCTATCTTCTGTGCCCTTGAGGACAATCACCCACTGCTGATGCAAGACCCTCATACTGGAGAATAGGTCCAATTCTGTAGAGCTAGAAAATGTGCATGCAGGAGAGGCACTCACTCCCCCAAGATCTGCTCCATGGAGACAGAGATGCCTTGCTGGGCCACAGACCCCGCCCCAACCCAGAAGAGATGCTGGCAGACCAAGTAGCAGGCAGGCCATCCAGAGGCAGAATGAATCTTGCAGATGCAAGGACCTGCATTAGCCCAGCATTACTGGCCATCCAGTAATGGGCATTAGCTGGTTGGGGTCAGTGTGGAGAACTAGACCTCAGTCCTGGACTAAAGCCAGTGCTGGCACAATGACTCCAACTTGGGTCTGGCTGGGGGCAGAAAGCTAAAGGGGGCTATTGGAAATAACTAAGCTTCCCTGTGAGCAGCTAGGATAGGAGGAGTCAGGCACCCAACTGACCTTTGTAATTTATTCCCCCACCGTAATAAAGAGAGTCTGGAATTCATGGTGCTCAGGGTCGATAAGGCTTCTCCACAGCTCCAACAGAGGAAGGATTCATGGTGATCACATGTGTAGGGGAAAAATATGTGCACTGTATGTACAGTGTATCAGATGTGAGAACAAGTAGATGCATTTATTTCAGCATGTGTGTGCATGTTTGAGAAGCTGCGGCTTTCTGTTTCATATTCAAGCAATGTATATGGACTTACTATGTGCACATCTAGTAAATTCCTTTTCTTCCTACAGTGCTATTAAACAGTGATAATCACAATATAATTGGTTTATTATATGTAAATTGATCAAAGTTTGCGTAAATTACTCTCTGGGTTCAATTTGAAATTGGTTTGAGTGCATTTTAATTGTGAGGGGCACTACAAGCTAAGAACAGATATTTTACTTCAATTCTTTTGTTATACTAACATGAAATTTTTTAAAAACAGACTGTTGGGTGCCCTTTGCAACAATACATGTTTTATGTATTGTATGGCAAATTCTCACACTTCAGTATTTCAAAGAGGTAAATGTTACTGAAGTTTCAGTAATACATAGATGTATTTAGACTTGAGAGCCAGTGTGGTGTAGTGGATAGAGCGATGGACTAGGTTCATGGTTCAAATCCCTGTTGGGCGTTATGGAAGAACTACTCCTTAAATATGACACATAACTTGAAAATCCTATTAGGGCTGCCATAAGTGATATGTGACTTGACAGCATGTTAACACCCATTTCGATTTCAGCTATTAAAACACAAATAGCAAAAATCTCTCTGTTTGAGAGAGAGAGAAAAAAACACTGGAAAATATCTTGAGAATGTGGACTTCCCAGTAAGTCATGAGAGTTGACAGCCAGTGCTGTTGGGCTCTCCCCCATCCCTTGTTCTAAATGTGAAATATAATTTGTACCAAATTTTAGTCTTCATATTGAAGACCATCATTTAAATAGACAGGGTGAAGCAACATAGCAGCCCACAAAACAACAATTGTGTTGTAGAGCAATTATGTTTAAAAATTAAAGAGACAGAAAGCAGCTCTTCCTTGCCTCCTAGTAAGCTTCCCGTCTCCTTAATATTTTAATATCAGTTTTCCTGCTTATCCTTTTATTGCACTACCATCCTTCTCTTTTTAAAAGAGAGGTGTAAGTAGAGACTGATCTGTTGCACCAAGTGGGTCATTTCCCCCCCCCCCAAGTGTATGGCTACAATTTTTCCATCATATCATTCAGATATGATACTGGGGAAGACTACTGAACCCATCTAAGAGATTTCTCTTCAGTTCAGGCAGATGCTAATTGTTAAGGAGTTGTTCTGCAGTGCTATTGCAAGGGAGGGTGAAAAGAATAAATATACCTCGTATGTCTGAAGAAGTGGACTTGTCCATGAAAGCTCACATTAAAATATAACAGTCTATAAGGTGTCACCAGGTTTTGTCTTTTTTATTATTTTTTTCCTTTGGGTTTTGCCAGAAGTAAAGAAAAATTAGCTGTAGTCCTGATGTGCACCCCCCCATCAGTGAGAAATGGATGGAAGGTTCCAGCTCAGCATTAGTAGTGAATATTATTTTTTTTTACTTATATACTGCCGCATAGTCCTTAGAGCACTCTCTGGGCAGGTTACAACATAATTAAGCAAGGAACACTTTGAAGTGAAGGCAGAGAATAAATCACTTAGTGATTTTCATTGCAAGAATATTTTGCATTTGGGTTTGAATAACTTGGGTTTGTTCACGGGTGTTTTGTAGATTGCAGAGGAGACATATGAAGAAGAAAAAAATCTAAAAATATAACCTGTGTGGACATGCTATAATTAGAACTGTAGTCCAAATGCTGGATTTAGAGCTGAAACAAAAGGGTTTCAAATATGCCACCTGCTTAATGGTAGCTTTAGGCAAATTACCCTCATCTGTCACTTCCCCATCTTTCTTTCAAACTGTCTGCAAATTTACATTTCAAGTTCAGGAGAGTGTTGTGTTCACCAAACTACAATCAGTTAGATGTTGCCTCCAGAAATTAATAGAGTGCTTCCATTTATGTCTGAATGAGTTTGCTTATGTTCTTCCTTCCCTTGATGGATTGGTGTATATGTTTGAAATCTGGCAAGGACTTACATGGCAGTCGGGGAGGAACTGATGTACACATTCCTCCTCCATGATGCATATCCATATGGCTTAGGTTGAAGCAAAGATGGCTGTTTTGACACAGTAGAAATATGATCTATAATGATACTTGTTATTTTATTCTTACTGGTTTGTTCCTAATTTGTATATAAGGAGGATAACAGAGAAAGGCTAGCATGGGTTTTGTAACAGAGGTTTGCCTGGTTATGCCCAGAGAAAAGAATGCAGCTGCATAAATTGGGGATGGCCGTATGTCAAGGTTCCACACAGATCCTGTTAGACTCCAAAGAAGTCCTACTGTCATTACCACCACCAAGGGGGGGGGGGGGCCCCAGGAAGCTATCGTATGTCAAGGTTCCACACTTGTCTCAATATGGCTCCATCAGCTAGTATGGTGTCAGTATTTTTCTTCTGATATAATCCATCTTGCACAGTTTCTTTGTATCAGAGTCAGGGAGCCTGAAATCCACCAAAATGGTGCTATAGTTTGTTCATCCTTAATTCTGCCCTAGGACTCTTTGTTGTTATTGTGTGGTACATCTGTGCAGCTAAATGCTGTTCAGCCTGTTCTGGAAAATGTTGCATTGTCCTCTAAAGGATTAGACTTTTTTTTGTATTTTGGGGGTGCTTTTGAATGCAGTATTATCAGTGGGAATGTAAGTGACCTTGGTATCCTGAAGCACTTTTTAGCATCTTTCAGTGATAGACCAATTGCAGTTGCAGGTGAACAGAGATCACCTGGCTACTGTTACCGGATTTAACTTACTAGCAGGTCTGTTATGTACCTGTTTTGTTTTATATTGCCTTTGTATGTTTGTTTTATTCCACATTTATAATATTTATGTAAGCCACCCAGAAAATGTTGCTATATGGGGCAACATAGGGGACACTTCAAATCATAAAGCTTTCTTAGGGATATGTTGTTAATGTTCTGAGGTGAACTTTTTTTAAAAAATGCCACTACTACTTCAGATGATTGAAAGAAATGTAAACAGTGAGGGAGCATCTAAAACAAAAATGGTTGCAAACCCAAGTCCTAAAGAAATGTCACAATTAATTTGAAATTCTTTAACGTTTTTATGTACAGGCAGAAGATTAGACACATTTTTGCCACAACTGTGTGGGTACTTATGCTCAGATCTGTTTCTCCATGTTCCCAACAGGCCAGCCCCAGAGCCGAGTAACTATCCAAACTCCTCCAACTTCGACTCTTGTCCCTCTGCTACAGAATGGTGCCGGGCACGTGCCGGAAGGGCTCGGTAGTTCCAATGGAGAGGCTGGGAATGGAGCTGTGTGCTCAGAACTCAGGTCGCTGTCAAGCTCTCAAAAACCTCATCGGAAGTTACAGTCACATCATTCCATCAACAGTCAAATCAGTAAAAAGAGCAAAAGCAGCTCCAAATCTGTGTCATCCCAGATTCCTACTGAAGCCCAGGAAGGTATCTGTCCTCCTACCTCAGTATGTTTCAGTTAGTATTTAGAGTTTATTTGGTCCTTCAGTCATTGGAGATGAAGTAAAGGTAAAGGTTCCCCTTGAGATTCAGTCTAGTCGTGTTTGACTCTAGGGTGCGTTGCTCATCCCCGTTTCCAAGCCATGAAGCCAACGATTGTCCGTAGACAGTTTCCGTGGTCACATGGCCAGCGCAACTAGGCACGGAACGCCATTATATTTCCATTGAGATGGTCCCTATTTATCTACTTGCCTTTACATGCTTTTGAACTGCTAGATTGGCAGGAGCTGGGACAAGCGATGGGAGCTCACTCCGTCGCATGGATTCGATCTTACGCTAATGGTCTTCTGACCTTGCAACAAAGGCTTCTGCGGTTTAACCCGCAGCGCCACCGATTAAGTGATAGTGAAAAGAACCATCTCACCAGTGAACTAATGATAGAAAATGTGCCAGTGGGGACAGAGGTGCATCTGGTTACTTCGTGGTGCATGCTTTCCTTTAGGATCCAAGCTAAATGGAGTAGGTCAGTTAAGGACCAGTCAGTTAAGGACCAGCTCAAGATATTTTGCTGCCTGAAACACACCCACTCCATGAGCAAAACCTGACTAGCCTGACAATTGAATCAACCCTAATGAAAGCACAATGTCCTTTACTGTACCTGGGAGCAAGACACTATCTTATTAGATGCAGTGTTATGAATGGCATAAAAAGCACTGTCAGCTTCCCCACCTTTCAGAATCTGAGGCAGCTGTCTTTCTCTGCCCAGTTGTAGCTTTAGCCCTGATCAGTGCATGACATTCTGATAATAAAACATGTATCCATGACCAAAACAGACATAAATCAGTATTTGTATACTCACAGTTGTTAGCTTTAATGTTGCCTTTTAACGATATAAGCCGCCTTGGATCCTTTTCAGGAAAAAGGCTGGGTAAATATATTTTAAACAAAATAAACAAATTTATTTATTCCATACATCTCCATCTGAATTATTCATAGAAAGCCAAGAGTGGGTCCCAAGCCAGCTCCAGTCATGGCATCTGTGCATCATTGGGATTGAGAGGAGTTAAGTGTCTATGCAAGAACAGGCACAGTGAAGAAATACATGTATCAGATGGACCCAAGAGAAAGTGAAGCACAGTTGTTAGTAGTTGTTAACTGTTATTCTCATGATCCAAGCTCAGTTTTTGAAGCAACTTGATTGCATGCACTTGCACTTCTTCTTGACCTCTATACTTTCCCCACCACATTCAAAACGTACTTATGCCAGTGCAACAATCAGTCTTCATGAGGGTTGTTGTTTTTTCTGGGAAGTTTCTTTGTATGGGCTCATTGTTTAATAAATGGGCTGACCGCATGGCAATTGGGTCCACTTTGGAGATGTTGGGGAGTGTAGTTTTCACAGCAAAATAGATGCTTCGTGTGTTTTTGGATTAATTGACAGTACTGCTTCCTATGTTTCCCCACTGCCTAGTAATCAAGAGTGGGAGATGTTTCCTGTATAGATGTACTCTCATTTCCACTACTGTGGTACAGGTGTGCAGTCCCTGCACTAGTTCTGAGGAGCTCTGTTACCGCTGGAATTGTTTACGGATCATTTTCTATCTTAGCATAGTCCCAAGACACTGTATAGGGAGTGCTTTCTGAGATCAGGTAAGAATTTGAATTCCATTTCTGCCTTGAGATATTGGAATGCAGTTGATCTGCATTAATACGAATGTTCTGCTTGGTGTCCATAGAATTTTTTGAGTGACATATTTGTAGAAGCTTGTTGTGTTCCAGCTGTGTGCAAAGTTATATTTCATTCTTCTTGCCTTCCAGAGCTCCTCTTGCCCTATTTCAGCCCCCACCAAGCTGACTTTTGCCTGCTTTTTTTTTGTTATTCTCTGTTCTCTCCGCTTCCAGATTGCTGTGTCCACTGCATCCTCTCCTGCCTCTTTTGTGAGTTCCTGACCCTCTGCAACATCATGCTGGACTGTGCCACCTGTGGCTCCTGCAGCTCCGAGGATTCTTGCATCTGCTGTTGCTGCTGTGGCTCGGGGGAATGTGCCGATTGCGACCTGCCCTGTGACATGGACTGTGGCATTATTGATGCATGCTGTGAGTCAGCTGACTGCCTGGAGATCTGCATGGAGTGCTGCGGCTTGTGCTTTTCCTCCTGAAACCTTGAGCCAGGTCTCATTCCCAGGACAGGAGCTCTTGCTGTAAACTTGGAGAAGGACCTTGGTGGGAGGGCTTCCATTATTATCCCTCCACCCCATCCAATGATCAGGATGCCAAAGAAGCTAAGTTTGGAATAAGAGATGAGCCCACTGAAGCTGACAGTATAGACTGTCAAAAAGTGCTTTGGAACAACTAGCTCTTGTAGACTCTAATGGAATCATAATTAGGGGCTCAAAAAGTGCTTTGGAACAACTAGCTCTTTTCTCCAGACTGACACTAAAGATTTGTGCTATTTTTGAAGGAGAAGTGGTGGACGTGCTTTCTTTCTCCCTCCCTCCCTTTTTGTCTCTGTCTCTTTCCCTTCCCACCAGATTTCTCCTGTGGAAGCTGGGGGAAGATCAGTGTTCCTGCTGCCTGAGCCAAGAGGAGGAAAAGAATATCTGTACAGCCAGTTATGCTGCTTGGCAGAGATCTGGAGCATTCACACAATGGGCCAAAAATCATGGACAAGCTATGTTGCCTTGGCATAATGTGCCAGCAGGCTGTGCCACCTACTGGCCAGCAAAGTCATACTGCCACTGACTTGCAGATAGAGTTTTTCTAGCTCTGGTGCTTTCTGGCTGTTCCAAATGCTGTTAGCGTCGTGATGATGCCAACGAGCTGGCAACTTTGCTGCCTCCTGGCTACTTCCTGGTGCCCAGAATGGCATTCAGCTTAGCATGCCAAGATGTTTTTGTGCAGCTGCTCTGGGCCCATCTTGGTGCTGTCTCAATTGCTGGATTCTTCCTGTGACACGAGGAGAAGATGCCAAATTGTTAGAACAGCCTCTAGCCCAGTGAGATGTCCTCCAGATTTGCAAGCAGCTAGGCGCTAATTTGTTCTGTGAACTTTTTAAAAGGAACCTTATCATTCTTGTCCCCCATCCTTTTGTTGTGGATATCAGTACTGAGATTGGATAGTCTTACACAGTGAGAACACACCACTCTCCACTACCTATGTTCTCATTCAAGAGTCTCTTGGTCATCTCTAGAGCCTATCAGTGTTACTAGATTCTTTTTGACTGATTAGTGTAGAAAAGGATAAAAGAAGCTGTCAGTCCTTGCCTGTCTCTATGACAGGCAAGCATTAGAACCAACTCAAAGACATAACTCCGTTTCTTTTCCTGTTGGCAAGATCTTGGACACCAACAAGAGATCCAGATTAGTAGCATGCATTGGGACCAAGGGATTGGAAACCTGTTATCATCCCAAATACAGACAGGCCTGCCATACCTAATCCTCTGGTTTCCTTTCTATATGGGAATGGTTTGTATGGTGTCTCTTTTTATTTGTTACTGTAAATAAAAGTTTTTTTTTCCATTTCTGATGCAGAGAGGTTTCTGCAGTATTGTGTATTTTCCATATGTTCCAATGTAACACCCCAAGACCTACATCATCAGATTTTGTAAAAGTAGTCCATGAAGGGATAATGTAATTGAGGCAACTTCTCATTCTCCCTAACGCAGCTTTTATTTATTTATTTTTAGGTTGCCTGAAAGCATATTCTGCAAAAGGTACAGAAAATGCTTGTAAATGCAGTTTCCCTGTGTACATTACTGAGATGGGCTTGTGTGGAAGCAATCCTTACCTGGAAGCTTGGGTGTTGATCTTTAAACTTTGTTAATTTCCTAACATTACAACAGGAACCTTACTGAGGAAAAACACCTAAGCCTTAGCTAAGCAGTGTGATTATACCACAGCAAAAAACAAACAAACAAACAAAAACACCACAAGTACAAGTCAAACATGTTATATTCCCTGGGCTTCACTGAGGTGCTGAAGTTGTGTCAGGGCTGCACTTCAGAATAGGTGGAAGCTCACTTGAGAGAAGAGGTTTCTTTTTGTCAGGGGTGCACTACTTTGGTGGGTCCAGGGCCAAAGTTCCACCTTGGTGGTCCTTTGAGAACCAAAAATGAAAGGGGAAGTGGGAGGAGAATTCACCTCCAATTTTGCAAAATAGGTACTTTAAGATGTATTATTATGATTATTATCCAGAAACACCAGGAACAGTCAAAATTATAAAAACATTGACTGGTACAGATACAAATTCTAACCAAACTCATATCGCCACAGTATGTATGCTGTTCCTAATATTGTTGTTTTGTTTTTTGTTTTTTTGTAATGATGGTGTTATTTCTGAGATCTGTAACTGCTTATAGTAATGTTCGAAATTTCTTAATATTGTTCCCAAAGTTCCAATGACTACGAGGACCACTGAAATGTGTTTCATCCCAAAGCGCGATGTTTCGATTGGCAGGTCTCTGTACTTCGTTAGTTTTTCCAATTTTTTATTTTCAACTCCGGCATCCTCCAGAATTGCAATGTCAGAGCTCCAGACCTTTCTTCGTTCTATTACTACTATGCCTGATGTGTTGTGTTCAAGGTATCTTATCAGTGTGAATCCAGAAATCCCACAAGATATTGACTTCCTCATTTTCTGACACCTTCTCTGTCTGACGTTCCCATGAGTTTTTGGAGGCTGGCAACTAAAATTTTTTGCACAATGACCAGTGCACTAATTTTGCCACTTTATCATGTCTAATTTTGTACTCTGTGCAGTCTTTGGATATTCGCAGAGGAGGTGTGACACAGTTTCATCTTTTTCTTGGCAGTCAGATAATGATGATGATGATTTCAAAAGTGTTGCTTACTACAGTTCTTGCAAGCTTCCAAGAGTGGAAGATCCTTTTTATTCTTTTGCTGGGAAGAGTTTGGGGGAGGGATTTTCTGATGGGGCTGTGGGCTGCAAAAATAGCTTCGTGAGATGCATGGCCCATGCATGTCAGGGCCACCCAAACACACATGGTATCACTGTTCCATGGGTCGAATCCAGGAGAATTGCTTGCAGAGAAGTTACAGCAATTGCAGTCCCACAAAAAAGATGTGCAAGAACTACAGCAGTAAGGGATTTTGCCCAGTGCTTGCAGACATGACAAGAGCCTGGAAATAATTAGTTGTGTGCTAATCAATTACTCCCGTCACTTAAACAGTCCATGTGCTAACAATGCTCACTGTCCAACTTTGGAAATAAGAAATTAAGTTTAACTAGTTGTGTACTAACTAGTTGCATTCTTTTCCCTTGCTGTTAACTCTGTTGATCAGATTAGCCCTGAGAATCTGTGTTCTTGGCAGAGAGTTTGAAACCTCTCCTCAGTTTTTAATAAGCCTCACTTGTGGCACTAATTAACCACTTGTTGGCAGCTCACTGGCTCTTGCACCCTCCATGCCAGCTATTTAACAAACCCTGCCAGTGATGGTGATGGATTCATCTTTGTGAGCCAGGACCCACACTGTATTCTTTTCTGGGACAGGAATTGTAACCAGCATAGCACACTGTCCTCCTTTTGCTGGCTTGTTGATGTTAAAACATTTCCTTACAAGTCATGTTTTGTTTTTTAAAAAGAGAAACAAGAGAAAGTGACAAGGAAACGGCCACAGATGTCCTTACAACATTGTGAGTCAGCAACAAGAGTACAGGACCCGGTGGACAGTTTGCCTGGCAGAATGCTATTCATCTCTTCTGCATTATAAGGAGCTTGTTTCCTCAAGCTCCTTTTTATCTGCTCTGAATTCCTTTCCCAACCTCCTATTTTCCTGGACAATAAGGAGGCCTCCAAGTCTATACCTAACCAGGAGGTGGAGGTGGAGGATAGAATGGATTTGCTGCCTGCCCTCCACCCCCAATGATTTTCTCCAAATAATAATAAACTCTCCCCCCTCCGTACCAGTGGGTGTTTCTGATAGGAAAGAAGAAATAGCATCAACTTTACAAAATATGAAATATGTTCGTCAGTTAATGGCACACATGCTAACATATTCTTAATTAGCTTTTACAGATAACCTAATTCATACTACACAGGCAGAGAGCACTGCGTACTGAAAACAAGATGAAAAGAGAGAGGAAAGAATACAAAATGGCCCTGCTGGATTTCAGCAAGAACATGAGAACCTAGTTCTAAACTAGGTCCCAAAACACACCCATAAAATGTTTTACCCCACTGGATTATAATCCCTGAATTCACTATTTTCAGAGGGAGATCATAGGTATAAGTGATCAGGAAGAAAACAATGAGTCTTGGAAAGATGAAGGGCTCTTGTTTCACTTTTCTTTTATTATATGTAACTGTTATTAGGATTGCTAGATGTCTGGGATATCATCATGCCTGGAGCTAGAAAAGCTCCAAAGCAGCAGGAAGAATAACAGGCATAGCACACGATCACATTCTATTGTGCAACACTGCCTTTACTTCCCTGCTTCCCCACCAGCAAGAGGCAAGGCTTTACTTTTGCATGACCAAAGAAGCAAGAGAAGCAGAATCATGGGAGGAACAAAACAAAACAAAAACCAGAGTGGAGTGTTGCTCATGCTGGAGGGAGCAGGGGTGAGGCAGGGCAGGTGCGAACTTCATTATTTTTTCCCTGTGCTGCAGCTCCGAGTGCCTTCTATGAACTGCTCTGAATTAGCAAGGATCTCCTTCCATCCTCCCCTTCTCTAGAAAGGAGCTGCCATTGGATCCTGTTGCCTTTTGTGAATAAAAAGGCCAGTCTTGATCAGAGTGAATGGCTGTGCTAAGTGGGGGGATTTTGAGAGTTGTTGTCCACCAGACTTTGTAAATCTGCTTTTCTGTACTTGAGTTTACTTGTCAGTGATTGCTGGACAAATCTTATTTACAGCTTTATTTACAACTTTATTAACTTCCACTATTTCAGTCATCACAATATCAGGAACTTCTGCATTTCTATTACATTGTTCTCAAACCCACACACATGTGTAGAAACATCTGCCAACGGAAACTACATTCCATACATAAACAGCACATCCGCAAAAGCATACAGCAAATAAAACTTATTTGTCTTTAAGGTAATGTAGGACTCTTGTAGAATTGCAAACATAACGACAACAACTTTTCCAAGTTCTGCTCTGTATTCTACTCAATGAATGCACCTTCTCTATGTTTTGGACATTTTAAAAGTACCAATAGGGTACTAATACCCTAAAGCAGCCATTCTTAATGGGGGCCATATAGCCCTCTGGGGTCCCCTGGCACATTTGAATGGGAGGACAGGAAATAATTCTTCACATATCACCTTATAAAGTTTGTTATGTGATTCGGCCTATATTTC